TATATATATATATATATAATACAATGTAGATATTATTATTACATTATTAATATCGCGCAATAATTCATTAGTATCTTAGTCTTTTACAGTTAACTAACATAACAAAAGGCAACATTCATTTTGTAGTTGTTTTTGTTTTTACGTTATTATCGTTGGTGTATTCTAGATTGCCTCCTGATCGGCGAGACGACCGATCTCAGGAGGCCTCGGTCATATTATTATTACCACGGCGCTGATCTGAATATTTTTTTTCTCGCTGTCACGATGGGAATTGCGTGCATCGCAGGGTGTGTGTGTGTATCGTTGGTACACCGACGAGAGATAAACACGGTGCTGCTCGAAGTAGTAATTCTCTCTCTGTGCGGCTGCGGGTGGAGTCTCGCGAGGCCGTTTCTTTCTTTCCGAGGAGACCGGGGGAAGGGATCGCAGTCCTCGACGAAGGGAGACTGTCGCGTGGAGGAAAGGATCCGGCGCAGTTTCGAAAAGTAATTTCTCTCAGAATTGCATGCTCCTCTATATTACCTTCCGGAATATATTACCGTACCGACGACGGATCGTGTCGATGAAGCGAATCGCAGGAGGCGACGACGGTGAAACCATTTCGACGTCTTTCTCTTATACAAGCCTTTGCCACACAATGTGAGCGTTGCGCGTATACGAGAATTTTGCGGGTAAAGCCTAAAATTTTATACATATATGCGTGTGTATATGTATATATATATATGTATGTATATGAGTCGAGCACCTATCACATTATACTATCCTCGATTGTATAAACTCGATTGTGGTGATGTAATTCTTTTTTATTTCCGCAAAGTAATCCATATATTGAAACACGGGAAATTACACACACACACACACACACACTCTCTTTCTCATTCACTTACTCACTCACTCACTCACTCACTCACTCACTTACTCACTCTCTCTCTCTCTCTCTCTCTCTCTCTCTCTCTCTCTCTCTCTCTCTCGATATAATTGCATTAAAAGATATTGGTCATTAGTTCGCACCGAAAGATCGATCAACTACTTCTGGTTAATTGAATTTTATTCGGCTATATTTTACACACGTGTAAACGGAACACTTTCGTCTAGAGAGTGTCTATTTATGTAAAGAGAGGAACGAATAGAGAAGGAAGAAATAAATAAGTAAAACACAGAAAGAGAAAGAAAACTCCATACGGTCTTCCATCTGGAGAAACGAAGGGTGACGTTCGTATCTCGGAAAGCGATTCCGCTTAGAACGAAGTTACGTGTCGATCATAAGAAGACGTCTCTCTCCCTCGAAAACAGAGCGACTTTGATCCAAGAAGAACCTTTCTATGTTTTTCGGTGATCGCTAACAATTTCTAAGATAATCGTGTGGAACGATCGAAACGGGACACCCTGTATATGCAGATGAATATACGTTAATAGTTAGCGCTACGATTCTGTGACTTGGCGGAAGAAGGCCAATCGTCCTATATCCTAACATATGGTATTATATTTCTTCCGTATTTTCTTCCCCTTCTTTCTTTCTTTCTTTCTCCTTTTTTTATCTATTTTCTTTTGCTATAAAATCACAGTTACGGGGCACCCCAAATACATCCTACACCGTACCGCGTCGCGTTTCTTCTCTTTTTTTTTCTTTCTTCGTTACGCATTATTACAATAATTTTAGGTTGATTATTCAGTCGCATGTTTACTTAACAATTATCGTAATCCGATTTTTACGTGCGCACACAACGCGTGCGTATCGTTTAATTAATTAACGTCGCACTGACTCGCGAGGTCTCTCTCTCTCTCTCTCTCTCCCTCTCTCATGGTATAAACGACATTCTTCCTCGGACCGCGCACGCGCGGTGTGCAAGTAAGATCGACTGTGTGTGTGTGATACGAATAAAAAGCAGTCTTGCAACTCGATTTCTCATACTTCGTACAAAATGCGAATATATTTTGGCGGAATACAGCAGACTATCGGAAATCAATCGCGAGTTCTCATCAGCGATCTCTGTTTCCTTCCACCTTTCTCTCTCTTTTCTTTCTATACGCTACAGTTATTTATTAGCTTCTTCACAGGCTCTCTCTCTCTCTCTCTCTTTATTAGGGCATGTATTACTTCGGAGAAAAATTCGCGATAGAACGAGTGAGTGATGAAAATGCAAACCAATGAGAGGCGGCGCTCTATACAAAGTTACACGCACACTTGGACACCTAATGCTAATTTACTATTCGTACATATCCAGGCTACGAAAGACACTCGTAGAATTTTTTTCTTCGCTATATTGCTCGTCGAAAGCTACATTAGCTACATGTTGTAACGTTCGATTTGTCTTTAATTGCCGGTAGTTGTTTCAACAAGATCCGTGGAAAAAAGCGAAAGAATTGTCGTGTCGGAAAAATATAGCAAGAAGAAACGGAAAAGAGAAGCGATCTCCGATCATTCCCAAAGCGGAGTTCAAATTATTTCCACTTAAACCAGAGATTAGAATCTGCGATTTAATAAATATCAAATGTCTTGATATGTTCATTTTTTTCGCGTAAAATCCTATGCTAACCCAACCAAATGAATTAGGACCGTCTTTAGGAAAACAAGATCGCGAGCAATAACTATCGGGAAAAATATTCGCCACACCCGAATACTTGAATAAGAATCTTCGAACTTTGGAAAATTTCGAAAATGGAATATTACTGTAGAGCGGTAATTTGTGTTTATAAGATCTGATACAAGTCGGATAACACGTAACTTCTAAAAGATGTCTTAAGGACCGTCTATAATAACCGTAAAATATGCTGTAAGCTAACCCGTACGGAAAAAACTATAATACGAAAAAATGATTGATGTACTATTAAAAAACTATCGTTCTTCAATAGTATACCAGTAATTTTTTCGTACTCTTGTAGTTATTCTTCCATACGGAAATTGACCAACTACAATCAATTATTCTTGGACTAAGAATCCAGTCAATTAGTTCATCGCTTACGTCTTACTGCGTACTTAATGGCTATTGTAGAAGGCTCTTTAAAGACGTTTTCTTTTTTCTAAATCTCTTTAAGACATCTTTTAGAAGTTCGTGTTGTCTGGGAAGACCTGCGAAGCCAGTGAAGGCCGACAAAAAAACGAATACGTCTATCGCGTTACGTAGATCTCGTGTAGATTTTTCGGGGATCCTGTATTATTTCGTCAAAATTCGCTAGAACGTTACATTAGAGCAGAAAAACGCTTACAAACATTCCAATAAGAAACTATGAAATTTACGAAGGAGAATTATGCGTGTATGTATATATATATATTTTACATAGACTTAAATTTTAACATCCCACTGACACAACTCGGTCCCCACGTGACGCCCCTCCGAATGCCCACAAAGTGTTCTTCATCCAATTCACAACCAATATCATTCCACAGCTTGAGAAAAAAAAAAGTATAAGAGAGCAGGTGCGATCGCAAAAAACGGGAAGCGGGATTCTATCAGGTCACACGTCCGACGATGCAAGCAACGTCGTTTCTTCAAATTAAAATCTTCAGTGTAAAATATCGATACTTACATTTACTTACATTTACTTTTACGCTCTCTCTCTCTCTCTCTCTTTCTCTCTCCCTCTTGATGTAGACACTACAGAGACACTGCTTCAAAGGCATATAAAAGGGAGGAAAAGTGCACATGCTTCGCCTAAACGATACTCCTAACGTTTGTTCAAAGCGAGAGACGAGGAACGACGTTGCTCTCTCACGGAGTGAACCTGACAGAAAGTCTTTCGCTGTTTTGAGAAATCAATTTCGAGGGGTTTGCGAATCCCTGCGCGGAGATACCGCGGAGATACCAAGCCACAGAATCACATTGATTGATCGACCGATCGAGTCCCGGGTGTCGTGTGTGACAGCACAGCAAGATGCAGAATGAGCCTCGCTAAGAACAAGTGTTCACTCCCCCCTACCCCCTCTCTAATCGTTAATCGTGTTACGCATATCGTTGAATTCGATGCAACATTGTATAAAAAAGAGACGGCTCGAGTATCCCTATCGTCTACGGGTTTTCTGTCAGCTAAGTATTACAAACGCGAGGTCATTTTGATTGACGTTTCATTTTGATCGCTTCCTTCCGGTGAAACCGTGCGTTTTGATCGGGGGCTTTTTTCTTTTTTAGACGCGTGACAGGTACGTAAGAACGAAATCCTCTCTTGTTTTTGTTTTCGAGCAAATACTTCCGGAATCGCTGCGATAAGCGCGCCGCGCCTGTGATAACGGCTGATAAACTCTCTATTTATTGACGACGAGCGACGAGCTGATTCAGACGTGATTAATTAGCAACGCGAGAGATTTTTTCCGCGTCTTTTGACACGCGCAAATGTCGAAATAATTGACGCGATTCGCACGCTGGTGCAAATCAAAGCAAGATTTCACGGTTACGTCTTTCACAGCTTTTCCATTTCGACTCATCCCGTGTCTAGTTTTCCCATTTTTTTTTAATTTTCAAACCGCGATAACGCCACGGATGTCGTTTCCAAACGCCTCTAAATTTCGCGACTTTTGCCGTCTGCCTTCTTAGCTCGCGC